CTCTTTGTGTGTGTGTGTGTGTGTGTGTGTGTGTGTGTGTGTGTGTGTGTGTGTGTGTGTGTGTGTATAGTCATACTTGGGCTCATTGACATTCAGGACTCGTCCATCAGCAGTTATCAGAGTCCTCGGGGGCTTCACTTTCTTCTCGTTGCCTCTGCAGGGACACGCAACACCATCAACCGAGCTCTGTGTGTGTGTGTGTGTGTGTGTGTGTGTGTGTGTGTGTGTGTGTGTGTGTGTGTGTGTGTGTGTGTGTGTGTCGCATCCTCTATGATATATTCTCATGACGCTCCTGTCTGGAGCAGAGGATGGTCCTTCACCCCTCACCCTGCATAAGATTAGGACTGTACAGTCATCTGTCAGTCACACAAACACTTGCGCATGTGCACTCTTGTACACACACACACACCAAATGGTCAGCCATGAAAATGACAACTTTGCAGCTGATGTTTCTTGATCCCTGCTTGGCTTGCTCATTGTAGGCGAGATGGACGAAGTGTCCGTGGAGTGAACCCTGAGTGGTGGGTGAAGGGTCGTCCAGCGGTCGAGGCGAGGGCCTCATCACCGTAACTCGTTGCCGTGACCGGTCACGGTGACAGGTCGCTGTCGAGTGCCTGTCGGGAGCTAAAGTGGTGCTGAGTTGAGGCACTTCCTGACACAATACTTCCATTGAGGCCTCAGCAAACCACACGTCGCCATATATAAATGGACACTGAATCATATTAGGCCACAAGTAGATCACATAGGATCACACTGAATCGCAGTGGTACACAACAGACCATGCCGGATCACACTTAATTGCACTGGACTCAGCCACACAACACTCAGTCACACTTGGCTGCAATGGCTCACACTTGATCACATCCAACCCCACACTGAATCATACTTGCCATTACTTGATCAATCACATGAGATCCGGCTGGATCACATATGATCACACTGACCGCACTTGACCACATTCAAGCACAAGTGGATCACAGTGGACCTCATAAGATCACTCCGGACAACACTGGATCATAATCGACCACACAGCAACACACTTGACGGCGATGGCTATCTTTGATCACACTGAAACACACACTGGATCCCTCACCCACAATGGATCCCTCACCCACAATGGATCCAACTCGACCACATTCAATCACACGTGACTGCAATGGATCACACTTATTACATTCAACTCCACATTGAATCACACTGGATCATATTAAACCCCACCTTGATCACACTCAAATACCCTGGATCGAACCACGCCACACATGTTCACATTTGACTGCAATGGATCACACTTGATCACATCCAACCCCACACTGGATCATAATCAACCATACCTGATCACACAAATCATGCGAGATCACACAGATCACCAATGGATCACACTTGACAATGGACCAAAATAGACCATAGTAGATCAAACTAGACCACACTTGATCACATTCAACCCCAAGTGGATCATACTGGACTTCATAGGCTCACACTTATTCATAATTGACCACGCTGGATCCAACTAGAATACGCTCAGTGAACTGCAATGGATCGCACTTGATCACATCTCAAAGCCACATTGGATCAGGCCGGATCAGACTCAACCACAACTGGATCACACTGGACTACCTAAAATAACACTGGATTATTCTGGATCATAATCGAGCACACTGAATGACACTCAAGAAAGTTCGACGACCCCAGACTGGACAGATTCCACTGGACAGCAAATAAGAATGCACAGCATCTCAAAACAGCACACCAGATCCCGTTTTAGACTGAGTGACAAATCAAGTTGTTGAAGCTGCACCGCATTTACTGACCATTTACTGACCAGCAGGTTGTGCACAATGCACCCAAGTAGGGTTGAAGAAGTTGATTGGATAATGTTGTGGCGACATCCAGTGGTGAAAAGTGAAACGTGCGGCTCATCATCAATGGTTGTCCTTTGATTCATGATCAATGGCTGTCTATTGATTTCAGGAAAACATGTTTATTTTCCCAAACGGTCGGTGTATTTCCGGGCCACGAGCATCCTTCGACACCTATAGATACATTTCCATGATGCAGTAGGGATCCATATAAAAAACAATTTGAAGGCCCCAAAAAAATTAACTTTTTTTTTTTTAATTAAAAAAAAAATCTGTGAGTATGCGGGTGTCAACTGTAATTTTTTTTGCACCCCAAAATTACACATTTGGATTTGAAATTTTTGGTAGATTATTAGGCCAGGAATACACCGCTTGTGAACAAATTGGTATGAATATGGGTGGCTGTTAAACTCAAGAGTTTGAAACCTCTGGTTCGAGCAGGAGTGGGGAATTCCGGTTCCTCGAGAGTCACATCCTGCCTGCTTTAGATCCCTCCCGACTCCAACGCACCAGATTCAAAAGGGAGAGCTCAAAAACAGGCAGCATATGGCTCTCAAGAAACCGGAGCTCCCTACACCTGGCTTAGAGTCTTCAAAGAAGCTAACATGCTAACTCCACACAGAACTCAGATTCCAACCACCCAACCTCAGAAGCGTGCGGCGACCGCGCTAACCACATCGCAGCCCAGTCACTGCTAAGTTGAAAGCGATGACTCACGTCTCCTTGGCCCTCCGCTTGGCCTCCAGGTGGCGGTGAGCTTCCAGGCGGGATTCTGGAGTGAAGGGACACGGCGTGTGCCAGAATTCCTTCTCCCGTCTTTCTTCTTCCAGTTCGGTCAGCTGCTCCTGCTTCTCTTCCGAGTCACCAGCACTGCGAGGACAAAAACAAAGTGACGCCATTAAAGCGGACGAGGCAGAAAGTCGCTGCGTTGGGCATCAGTCACGACGACGAGCGTGTGACTCTCACAATTTCATTGAAAACATGATCAAATCCATCGATTGTGGACATGACTCGTACCTACTTCCTGATTCCTCGGCCTGCTTCCTCTTGGCCTCCTCCTCTTCCTTCTCGTGCGCGGTCTTCCTCAAGTAATGGTCCTCCTGCTCCAGGACACGCATCCTCAACTCCTCCAAGCCCTGATTGGCCGCAATGCGCTCGGACCGCGTTACTTCGGTCCCGTCCAGACACTGAATACAGACAAGGAAATTAGTAAACCAAAAATTTGGAACGATAATGTTTCGTTCTTGTAAAGCGAATATATTTCACGCCTAACCCTTTACCCTTGTGTTTGCGTGTGACACCTTACCTTGAGCTGGGGTAAGGTGGCGACGACGTACTTGCGGTAGCCCTCGAAGAGCGTGCAGGGATTGCCCACCAGGAAGAGTTGACGCAGGTGGATGTTTTCTTTCAGACTCTCCACGCTGCTCAGACGCCCCACAAAGTTCACCGTCAGGTCCAATTTTTGCAGATTCTCGCAGCCTGCGCACACATACGCACACACACACACTTTCATGAATGACGAGCCAGTTTGGTAATTTGATGTTTAGCTTTTGTTGTAGCAGGTTTAAAGTGTATTCATTGGTTTTTGACAATAATTGAGTTTGAAAAAATATTTGACAACTGTTATCATATTTGTGTGATTTTAAATGTTCGCAGAAACAGTCATCTAAAAACTGACTTTTCTAGTGATGAAACATAAAGCTGTCCTACAAACTACTGCCATCAACATAACAGTCTTGATCTTCTACTCAAAGGCTGTGCTGATCTGTAATCCAAAGTGATGCAATGCTGCCATCTACTGGGACCTGTTTGCCATTGCAATGTGAAACATACATTTCCACACACCTTGCAGGTTTTCAATGACTTCTATGTTGTTCAAGGCCAGGTTCAAGTACTCCAGCTTCTTGAGGCGTCCTACATTCTCTGCCAAAGAAAAAATAAAAGACCAGCTTCTACCACACGTCCACGCACACACGCAACAGCTAGACTTGGTCCTCACCGATTCTTGGTATGAGGTTATTCTGAAGATAAAGGATCTTCAGATCCCTGCACCAGCGCTCGATGTGCTCGATCCTCTCGATGTCCTGCTGATGCAGGGAGACCTCCTCCAGGGAGAAGATCTCACACTCGTTGTGCTCGGCGCGACGCCGGATTAGATCTTCTGTGACTATAGACGCACGGGTGAGAAATAGTTAGTAGTTAACTAACAATTAGTCACTTCAGTCAGTCGACCAGCGACTTGGCTGGCACGGAAATCGGACCGGCCATTAGTAATGGCGATAAATTACAGCTCGATCAGGGTGATCATACATTTGTTGTTGAGTAAATGTAATATTTTTCCATGTTCCTCGTTTTCATTTTTTTCCCATGTATAGTAACTCGTGCGTTCGTAAAATGTTGAAGTATTCTTTGGTTTCTTTTGGTGTAGTTTCTTCCCTAGTCAGCAAAAAAATCCATGTAAGCCTGTCAAGATCGTGTTTGTTTCCGTTTCTAGCTAGTGAGCCGTTCATTCACTTGTATTGCAACTCGTCAATGAAAGAAACAGTGACTTATTGACTCAGTCAACGAGTTAGAACACTGTTTAGTTAGCTGGTCAGTCAGTTAATCACTTTGACTGCAGTGTAACGTAGTACCAGTGAGCTACTTATTGAATGACTTCGTTTGCGCGTCTATTGATTACGTCAGGTGTAGTTAGTCAATCATTGACTTTTACTTTTGTCACTGATTAGGTTGAGTTACTTTGTCAGTTTGTGTTCAACTACATAATTTGGGTAAGCGTCTGGAGAGGAAAAAGTGGACTTACTGTGAACCATCTTTCGTCTTCGTTGTCAGGCGTTGCCGTAGAAACCAAAGCTGCTGCAGATGCGTTCAGGTACACTGGGAAACATGACTTTCATCGACATCTACACTCCTCCAACCTGTCAGTTGAGTTTGCACTCAATTTAAAAAAGCTCGGTGACTACGGCTTTTGTTTACAGCTTCCCCCACAACACAAAATAGATAGACTGTTACATTCTTACTTCTAATGTTTGAATTATAAGATTATTTATTCGAAGATACCAGCACGTACAGAAAAAGGCAAACGTCACATAGTTACAAACATACGGAACGCCGAAGAGGACACGGAAGGAAAAAAAAGAGAGCGAAACTTCGCAATCTATCGAGGGAAAGCAATCGTTGCGAGGGAATGCAAAACTTTGCAAGCGAATGCAAAATTTTGCGAGGGAATTAAAAAAAAAAAAAAGAAATCTCACATTTCAGTAATAGTATCTAAGACTGTTGTGAATTTTCCCTCAGATGCATTTTTGAGCAAATATCTTCATTGCTGAGACTCACAATGTTTTTCGTTTTTTGAAAGAGCAAAATGACTTCACTTCTGTTTTACTTCAATCCAACATAACAAAAAATGCGACGAGTGTCCATGATCCGGTACATTTCTATGCACATCATTTGTCAAAGTAAGGTTGTATAGTTGATACATCATAAATTGTTAAAAATATTTGCTCTGCTGGAAGAAAAATAAGTGTTTTTCTATTTTATATTCCATTTACATGTTTGTGATTGATGTTTGTAAGAATTTGCGAATGTTAATAAAATTAGTTGCAAATCATTCTAACAGTTTATTTTTGAAACACAAGACACCACCTGCTGACGAAAATGAGGCGTGACAATTATGTAGTCATCATTTACAGGCGAAAAAAAAAATTTGGGAAAGAAAAAAAATATGAGTTAATTTACAATTCCAACTTCCCAAGAACTTACAACTCATTCGGGTTCACGTGTCGGCATGCAACTTTTTCAGGTGCATGGTCAGGGTGTACTTGTTGAGGAAGGTGCCTGGGCACAGCGGGCAAACGAAGGGCCGCTCCACCGTGTGGAAGTTTAAGTGCGACTTGAGGTGCGCCATCTGTCTGAATCGCCTTCCACACTGTTGGCAGCTGTAGGGACGCTCGCCCGTGTGGATGCGCATGTGCACGTCTCGGCTCTGCGCTGTGGCGAAAGTCTTGTTGCACACGCCGCACACGTGCCGACGCCCTTTACCCGAAGCCTTGCCTTCCCGGTACTTGACGGCGGCGGCGCCGTCGGGCAGCGCCGAGCCTGACACGCTGACTATCTGGAGGCCGAAAGCATCTGTGGGCTCGTCACGGTCGAAGCCAGCAGAGGTGACGTCATTGGACACCGGCTCGCTCCAACAGACGTTTTCGGACGGGTGAGACCCCGGCAGCGCCACGTTGGGGAAATACGACAGCTGGTCGGCGGTGCGGAGGCAAGCGTCACCCTGATGCAGATACCCATCTGCTTCTGCAACAGATCACATACATAATTTTAGCATCAAGCTATTTTTTTTCCCAACTGCGTGAATGCCAAGACCACCGTTTTCATTACAAAATGTCTAAATCAAAAAAGTACGATAGGCCCAACACCTTAATCGGCCAATACTAGCGCTTTTGAAACGTAGGCAATTTTTTGTGGCCATTTTTTTTCCTTCTCCAAAAAGAAATAAAATAAAAATTGCCCAATTTTGAAGGATTTTTTTCTCCGTTAAGTGAAATGGGAAGTGAAGTCAAGCAATTTCTTTATATGTTATATGCATCCACACTATCTAAACACGTTCTGCTAATTAACATTATGTCTTTGGAATATGAATGAAGCAGCAAAATCCACTTGTTGTGATGCATCTCAGGGGACGGCCATTTTGCCACCTGCTGAAGATGGAAAATGAGGTCACAGTTACTGAGGGCTCAGCCTGTGAACGTCACATGACCAAACCTAGAAAACAGGTGAGCTGTGATGGTGGTGAGCTAAACATGCTGTTAAAAGCGCGACATAAAGTTGTAGATACTTTCGCATGCACTCGACTCTTCCGCCGCCACCTCATCCACATCCAGCTGAGCGGCGTCCAACGAGTATACGGCGGCCATGCTGACCGCTCCAGTGAGGCCGGACTTCCTGTCCGAGTCCTTCTCTTGCCCTTTTCTCTTCCTTCGCTGTGAGAGCGGCGGCATGGTGGCGACATCCTCCGTAACGTCCTCCATGTCAACCGCCGACATCACGTTCTCTATGCCAAAAGACAAACATCGACAACAAGTAGATGTAGCTCTACTCCTTTCCGTGACATCATCACTCACCTTCCTCACTGTCGGAGTCTTCATCTTTGATCAGCACCACGTCAGGAACCTGAAAAGTAAAACAAGAAAAAATTTGAATGAAAGTGCACTACGTTCAACCTAACATATATTAATGTTAAATTCCATAGAAGGGTTAGCATTGATATCGCAGTAGCGTAGCTTTCGCTTAGCTCAGTCAACAGGTGAGACGTTTTGCGACGGGTACTTCATTTGCAGATACCATCAGACACAGTATGCAGTCCCTTTTCGCAATTATTGGATCTCCCCGCAAAAATCAGCAGATAAACAACTCTGGTTACAAGCCCACGTTTAGAAGCGTAAATCAATTCATTGACTAATCGATTATCAAGTTAACAAACTTTGTTAATTTTGATTTTAAGAATAAGAAGAAAACCATTATGATTCCAAATTTACAGCAGCAAAGTTATGAAAGGAGGAAAGTAGAGAAACAAAAAGTATAAGAGGTGCTATAAAGGCAGCCACTCTCGCGGCGCCATCTTGGAAGTCATAATAACAAAATCATACAACACAACACATAAGACACAGACAGTTATGCAATCTTAACCACTTTTCTGCATACACTTTGTTGTTTGAAGCAGTTATAGATGAAAGAGGAGAGAATCAAGCAGTTATAGATGAAAGAGGAGAGAATCAAAGTGTCCTTTCACCAGTTGACAATTCATCAATCATTCCAAGACACTGTTTAATTTGAAGATGTCCAAATCCTCACAATTTCAGCTTCTCAACATTCTCCAGGCATGTAGTCCTTCGTGATATCAGACTGTAAAGTAAATTAAGTGAATCAATTTGTTTTTGAAGCATACCAGACAATACATCCTGATTTTTAAAGCGCTTTCACAACAGCTGCAGCTGTAACAAAGCACTTTGCAAAACAGTTAACATAAAATAAATAATAAACACAACACATAACACAAAAACGCGGACGGTCATGCAATCTTCACCACTTTTCCCTCACACGCTGTGTTGTTTGAAGCAGTTCTAGATGAAAGAAGAAAGGGGTGGCCGTTAATATTTTTTTCTTCTACAAATCACATTGATAGATGAATTGGAAAAAATAATCAATCACATCGAGGACAATCGTTCGCTGCCGCACTACTCACAATTTAACACCCGTCTGCGTTTATTTCCGAACATTCATTCGTAAATATGTCCAAGGAGGTTCTGACAGGTTCCACTATGAGAGGGGTGGGCGTGCTCACCTCCCCGCAGTCAGGAGCCTCTCCGTCGGCTTGTCCTTCTCGGTGGTCCCGCTGAATTTCGGGCTGGTGACGGCCGTCCTCCGGTATGTCGCGGCAGGGGCCGGCGAGGCTCCCGCGGACCACGACGGACTCAATGAGGCTGAGTCTGCTGCGGAGCTCGCGGTTCTCCTCCTGGCTGCGGTGAACTTCATCTCTGAGGCCGGCCAAGCCGCGCTCGAGCAGCTCGCAGATGTCCAGTACGGCTGCCTTGCTCAGCGCAGCCATGATGACACTCAGCTGCTCGTGGAGGTCTTGGGACGTTAAGAGCTGCGACATTTTTCCAGCACGACTGGCACTCAATCAACACCTCTCACGAGCAGCCAGAATCAAAGCCGAAACTAGATATTTTTCTTCGTCCTGTGTAGTTTCTATGGCGGCAGGCAAAACGAGGTTCAGACGCATTTCCGCCACCTACCGGGCTGGAGCGTGAAACGGTTGAAAGACAGCACAAAAAAAAAAAAAAAGTTTCAACATACGGAAGAGGATTACTGTCGTCAGAATTCTGAGAGGAAAGTCAGAATTCTGAGATTAAAGTCAGAATTCTGAGAATAAACTCAGAATTCTCACTTTAAAGTCAGAATTCTGAGATTAAAGTCAGAATTCTGAGAATAAAGTCAGAATTCTCACTTCAAAGTCAGAATTCTGAGATTAAAGTGAGAATTTTGCCAACCTTGTTTTTTTTCTTCATTGGCCCTAATCCTCTTCCGTAAAATATTGTGCATACAATAATGACATAACTAAATAGAATGTAAAGACTTCAACAGTTTACCAATTTTTGGATTCCCTACAAACAAGCGAAAAGAGACAGAGTGTCCATAAAATAAACTTTCTTTCAGAATCGAGAACCACTTTAAAGTGAGAATTCTGACTTTGTTCTCAAAATTCTGACTTTAATCTCAGAATTCTGACTAATCCTCTTCCGTATGAGTCTACGATTTGTGATTTACTTTGACAGGGCCAACAGGAAGTGTTTTAGCCCACTACGGAGAAATGACAACTCGACGGTCTCGCGCGTTGCATGCACGTCCACGCTGCTGCGTGGAGAAAGACGTGCACGTTTCTCATCCCACTGGACGTTTCGGATATTTTATAGGGTTCGTATTTAAAAGAGGAGCACTAACATCCGTAATATGATTTTTTTATAATTGATTAATCGTTTTGATTGTTGCGACTGAAAAGCAAAGATGAAAAGTTTCATTTTCTTCTTGGCGTTTTGCTCCGCTTATGTGCTGATGGTGAGTTCACCGTTCATTTTGATATTTTTTTTGTAGCTTTTTACTTTGCTGATTGGATTCATTCATTCATTCGTTCATTTTTTTACTGTCTTCGTCTTGGTTGATTGATTCATGAACGAGAATCGTTTTTATTTTTCAAAATCACTTGGATCATAATTGCTTCATACAATATTTGAGGTAAACACATGTCGTGGCCATCCTTAAATAAATAAAAACCAGGATTTAGAAAGACAGCTATGGTCACTTTCTTGTCATTGACACTTCCATAGCGTTTATTTTTGTACTTTCACAAATGCCCTAAGAGCTGTTTCTAACAGTAAACGAGGTCACCAAAACATTAAAAAAAATAAAAATAAAAATAACCCATTAAACTTCACAATAAAAGCAGAGAATGAAAACATGAAAGAATATCTTGCACCTGGCTCACCCGTGAACAGCGAAAATCCGCATATAATTTACATCCATTACAAATATATATTTTTTCCACTATATTTATACACAGGGCGTACAAAAGTAGGTCT